CGAACACATGCAAGAGAAGAGAGATTAGTAGTCTTTGGGAGTTTTATAAGCTTGGTTGGGAGCCATTCTCCAGAAAAAAAAAATTCCACCAAACTTCGTTGAAATCTTGGGTTTGTTTTTAAATATGTATGATGGTCCAGAGAGATGAAGTACAGAGGGGAGAGGTTTGCCTTGTATGTGGACATGGTCCCTGGTTCGGTCTCCTGAGCACCACTAGGAGTGATCCCTGAGTACAGAGCCAGGGGGAAGTCCTGAGCACTGCTGGGTCTGCCCTCACCCCTGACCCCCCCCGAAAAAAAAATAAAATACAATAAATATATATGAGTAGCAAAGGAGTTAGTTCAATGTGTTGGAACACATGCTTTGCTTGTGCAAGCCCAGGTACATTTTCAGCACTACCAGGAATAACCCCAGAGCACAGAACCAGCTTGTCTGGAGCATCACCTGGTGTGGCCCAGAACATATACATATGCCACATATATGTATGACTATTGCATTGTACTTAAAATATGTTTATGATTAGAGTGTTTTCATTTTATTTGGGGGAGCCTCTGCAGCAATGCCCTGGTGCCAAGGGCCACTCTTTGCAAACTTAGTCAAGAAGTGTGAGTCAAGAAGTGTGGGCCTGATGGTTCGTGCTCAGGCCTGGGCGGTGTAGTGTTGCTCTGGCTCAGTGGTTCTCTGATCCTCCAGGCCACACCTGCTGCTGTTATGGGGTAGGGCAGGCAGTGCTGGGGTCTGAGCTTAGAGCCTCGTATGTGCAGGACATGTACTTCATTCAGTCCTTTGCATTATCTCTCCAGCCTCTAAAGTGTGTTGGGGTTTTTTTGGGTGAAAGGGAGGTCTTGGGCTGAGGGGATGACATTTTGGACCCCATCTGAGGATGTGACAATACCTAGGGCTATCTCAACTCTGCTCAGTTATTGTTACTCCTGCTGTTGCTCAAAGGATCATGGCGTACCAGGGATTGAACCCAGGCCTCCAACATGGAAGGTATGCACTTCAACCCACTCAGCTCTTTCTGATCCTCCCTGTAGCACTGTAGCACTGTCCTCCCATTGTTCATCAATTTGCCCAAGCATGCACCAGTTAACATCTCACAACAAATCGTGAGACCTGTTGTTACTGTTTTTGGCATATCGAAATACATCACAGGTAGCTTGCCAGGCTTTGCCAGCTTGCCAGGCTTTCCGAGAGGGGCGGAGGAGTCGAACCCGGGTTGGTAAACGCCGTACCTGCTGTGCTATTGCTCCAGCCCTGATCCTCCCTAAAGTGTGTTTTTTTTAAATTTGTTTTTGGGGTCACACCTGCGATGCTTAGGGGTTACTCTTAGCTCTGCACTCAGGAATCACTGCTGGCGGTGTTTGGGGGACCATATGGGATGCTGGGAATCGAACCCGGGTTGGTCGCGTGCAAGGCAAATGCCCTACTGTGCTATCTCTCCAGCCCCTTCCCTAAAGTGTTTTTTAAAATATTTATCAATAGGGACTGGAGTGAAAGAACAACAGGTGAGGAGCTTGTCTTGCACACGGCCTATCGTGTTATGATCCCCCGCATCCCATCTTGTCTCCTGAGCCTGCCAGGAGCTTATTCCTAAGCACAGAGCAAGGAGTAAGCCCTGAATACCACTGGGTATGGCCCCAAACAAAACAAAAAAAATATCAATAAATCAAATTAATTCTTCAGGAAGATGTGCCCTGGATCTCTAGACCTGCAAGAAGTATCCTTTTTTTTTTTTTTAGGCCTAAAACAATTGTTTTTTGTATTTTGTATTTGGGCAACACTCTGCAGTGCTCAGGGCTTATATCTGGCTTTCTGTGCTCAGGGATCACTGTGGTGCTCAGGGAACCAAATGTGGTGGGGATTGAACCGGTCATCTGTTTGCAAGGCAAATGCCTTATATATGTTAACATTATTTAATTTTGTCAAGAAAATGACCAGGATCACATCATTAGTAAAATGGCAGCGTTAAAGTTTAATCCGAGTATGTCTCGACTCTACAACTTGAAGCTGAGAATCAAGAACCTGGGGAGGCATTTGCTCCTTTCAGAATTCATCTTCTCTGTGTGTGTGTGTGTGTGTGTGTGTGTGTGTGTGTGTGTGTGTGTGTATGTGCGTGTGTGTGTGCGCACGCTCATGCTTTTGTGTGTGTGTTTTTTTTGTTTTGTTTGTTTTTTGGGTTACTCTTGGCTCTGCACTCAGGAATTAACTCCTGGCTGTGCTCAGGGGACCATATGGGATGCTGGGAATCAAACCTGGGTCGACCGCATGCAAGGCAAACGCTCTACCCGCTGCGCTATCGCTCCAGCCCCTGTGTGTGTGTGTGTGTGTGTGTGTGTGTGTGTGTGTGTGTGTGTTTGTGTGTTTTGGTACCATTCCTTTTCCTCAGGAATTACTCAGGGATTGCTAGTTGTGATACATAGGAGGTGCATATGTAGTGCGGATCAAACCAAGATCAACCACATGCAAAACAAATACCTTAACCCCTGTACTATCTCTCTGTCTCAGAACATAAGGATTTTCTTTTCTTTTTCAAGTTACTATTGTTGTTCAGCTCATGCCTAACTCCATACTTAATATGCAAGATACATTTAACCTTGATTATCCAAAAGGAAAATAAGCAGTGAGGCAGGTAATACTATATAATGGAATCTTGTTTCTCTTTGGTGGTGCTGAAACAAATTAGTATATGACTCTTATTTTTAGTAGCAGATGTACTTTTTCTTATTGTTTTGTCTTGATGGATATTGACAAATTGTTATTTCCTGAATACTCTGTAGCTTGTCTTTTGTCAGTAGAAAACCATTTTACTGTTGAAAACGGTGGTTCCAGGTAAAAGTCCCACCCAGGTTACAGATTGTTTACTTCATTTGTGGTTGCTTATCCCAGGCCCTTAGAGAAGCATAAATATTAAAATACCAAGGTATTAAAAATTACTCCATCCCTTCAACCTGGCATTTAACTGGCCATCGAAATCCAGTTCCAGTAGATATTCTGAGAGCCCTGGGATGCACTGTCTGTAGCCATGCTCAACAGAATTTCAAGATAGTCTGGCTCCTCTGCTTCTCGTGCAGCGCTTGAACAAGTATTGGATTGGTTGCTGGTGAAAGGAAGCGTAGTCCTTTGTCTGTTCTCAGTCATTGCTGACTGCACTCCTAAATTTTGGTTCTTCAGAATAACTTGAAATACGGAGTCTCTAAGGCATCTAAAGGATATGGAACCCTGCGAGGTTTTTGTTTTGTTTTGTTTTTGTTTTGTTTGTCCAGCTCCTTTTTTATTCTGTTACTCTGGTCACCCTGTATAGTAGTACTCAAGACTGGGTCTTAGTACCTGATAACTTTTGCATTATTAAACTGGGAAGTCCGGAGTTCGGATTAGAAAACTTGTTGAGTCAAAGGGGAATTTAGCAGAGGAATGGAATGAAAATCATTTCCTTAGACAGTAGACAAATAATTCAGGAAACACCTCTGCACCCCAAAGATAGGCACAGCTGCCACACAACAACTATTAAGGGGAGGTTCGAAGTTATGAGCAAACAGCTGATTCTTTGGTTCTTAGGCTGTTGCTGTTGGTGACAGGAAATCTTGTTCCCCAAGCTGCTGGCTTCCTGTTTTATTTTTACTCTTAGCAGATCAGAATGTCCATAACAAGGAGCAGTCTGTTCAAAAGGGTTCTATTCCCCCTTTGAGTCTGAAGGACTCTTTTTTTCTTTTGGTCAGACAATATGTTGGTTCAGTTTTATATTTGTGATGTTTAGTTTGACATAAACATTTTGTATTTACAATCAACTTTTTTTTGGTGATGAGCTGGTGTTTTAAGATTTACTGTAAGTATGCCTTGGTTTTGCTTTATTTAAGAGGAATTTGCAGTTTTGGGGACTTGGGTGTGTTACTATTCAGCCTTAGCCTTTCCTGTGAAGCAGATTTGCCGTTTTTCCCTACCACAAAAACCGTTTGGCTGTTTTAAATTTCTTTCGTGTCACAAGATCCAGAAGCAGGACCAGCACAATGAGCCTTGGCTGTAGTAGTCAGTATCCATTCAGTTGAGACTGAAACTGCCTTCTCTCCTAGCGAAGCAAGGAATTTGGTCATCTAATGCTAAAACAATAGCTCAGCATGAACCTGTCGTGCAGGGGGGATTTCCTAGGGAAAGGGGCTCGCTCAGCTGACAGGATGAAAAACAGCAACTGGAAGGTTTCCGGATCTGCTCCAGACACTTCCTGCTGTCTCAAGAGCCTTTTGGCCCAGGTGTGTTGAACCTGATGGGGGAGAGAAAGGAAGCTATTGGATAGTGGAGAAAGGGCCAGGGAATCTTAGAGCACAGTTTGCTTGGCATTGTGTTTGACATATTAAACAAGTCAAAGTTTTTCTTCCTTGGTATCCTTTCGTTCTGTCAATTTACAAGCTAAACTTCAGTGGTGTTAATAGATACCGGCAGTTAGAATTTAGTTGTACATTCGCAGTCAGGGCAGAACTGGAAAAGTTCTGTCCTGATATAGATTAATGGAATCAATATTGGCAACTTAATTTCATTGTGGTGATTATCAGATGACTGAAGTTCTTTTTTTTGATCCTTAAAATTTATCATCTGGACTTTGATGCATCCTGGTATACACGAAGCCAGGATAGGATCTGTACCATCCTTGGCTGCTGAATGGGCATTTTTCCAACCATACCACCTTGCCTCTGGAGACTCTTGTTGGTTACAGCATACTTGCTGTTTTCAGGTTTTTTTTTCAGGTTTTTATGCTGCTTGGATATCTCAGTCTGCAGCCAGCCCTTTCGAATTTCTAAATTTACCAGCAAACCCTCTACTAGCAAATCTTAAAATGGAGGTAGGGGGCCTTAAAAAGTTAGAAAAAAATGAAAGAAAGAAAAACAGGAGGAAGATTTTTAAAAGCTGTTTCAGATCAGAGCAAGACAAAAGGAAAAAGATTTGCACAGCCCTGGTGTGCCTGGAATTTGTGGTTGAGTAATACTTTCCTGTTATTTCTTTTTTAGGTTGTTTTTCATCATTCAGAACATTGCCTGAAGCAGGTCCACCATGCCGTTAGTAACGAGGAACATCGAGCCAAGGCACCTGTGCCGTCAGACGTTGCCTAGAGTTCCAAGCGATCTGGAATGCGTGACCAACATCACCCTGGCAAATGTCATCCGACAGCTGGGCAGCCTGAGTGAGTGCCGCAGAGAGCCTGTGCTTCACCCTCAGGGGTCGTTGGTGCTCTTTATTTAGTTTCCCTCTCTTCCCGCGTTCCTATTTCTCCCCCATCTGCCTTCCCTAGGTAATGCGAAAAACCGTATCCCACGCCCCTCTCCCCGAAGAGAGGCTCCTTTTTCATATAGATTCTTCTCAGCCCTTTCTTTATCTACCAGAACCTTCCAGGTTCCCTCCCCTTCCCCCTCCACCTGCTTCAAAAGAAATCTGTAGGAAGGGTGGCAGCAAGGGCTGCAGCAGAAGCTGCAGATGGAATGACAGAGCAGAATTCTCTGTGTGTAAAGTGGGAGGTTCACAGAGCAGCATCTTGGGTTGGGGAATGTGCCTGTAATTGCACGAGCTGTTCGATGTAGCCTGACTTTGTTGAAGCCTCAAATGTGCCAATAGTCTTTTTCTCTCCACACCCCCACCCCCTCCGCCCCACACACACCTTTTCTTTCCAAAGAGAAGTAAAGCAAACATGCACTCAGATTCTGGCTGACTTGTCTATCCTGGTACACATTTAATTGTGCTGCGAGCCCCCAGGTCCAAGTTCAGGGTACAAATTACTTCTGCAGTCTCTGGGGTATTAGGAGTTTTGCAAGCTGTGTGAACACACAGTGACACAATGTAGCTGGAGCCATTCTTCTCGAGGAGGAAGAAGGGGGCTAGCCCAGTCTGTTTAGGAGCTGAGGGAAAGCCAGCTCAACTGTTGTGTTGTGGGTTTTTTTTTTGTTTTGTTTTGTTTTTTTTTAATTGGCAAGAGTGAATGAGACTGCCTTGGGTGGGGTACATGCATGTGGTTTGGATTTCATTCTGAATCAAGCTGACTTTGTTTGCTTGTAGCCAAGGTATGGGGAAGGCAGATGCTTGGATAGGCTTTGTGTTTGTCTAGTGCCACTCAAGCTCCTTTAAGAACCTTCGTCAAAATGCCATTTTAGTGATGTTCCTTAGCAAAGGCATCTTGGTGTGAATTATTTCAGACATTTACCCCTCCTATCGCATCACTGCCCTTCGTGAAAGCAGTAGAATATCAAGAACGCCTGCATTCCCCTAGATAGTAATAGGCCCTGCCTTTAAAATTGGGGCCCGAGGAAACGGAGCTGTGTGACCAGATGATGTATGGGGTCTGAGATTCCTAAGCCTTCACCTCGCTCAGAGGCCATCTCACTTGATCCAGGGCTTAGGGGAACCTGGATGGGGTGTCAGGAAGAAATGAAACCCTGCCAGTGCCTGTCTTACACAAAGGAGCATTGACAGCAGCACGACTGACAAGGAAGCACATGAAGGCTGCAGAGAGCCTCACTGCTTCTTAAAAGCATCATTTCTGCTTCTGTCACCCTGAGAAGGCCAAATAGGAGGAAGTCAATCACACACTGGTTCCTTCTCCGTAGGACAAAGGACATCTAGCTAATGATGCTTCTTATTCTCACTCAGCAGGAGTTATGCTCTCTCTCAGGTGTTTTTCCAGGCTAGTGTTGATGGATGCCATTGCTTACTCCCCCACTTGTGTTCAGGCCACTCCTATCTTCAGGAAGCCGATCTGCAGGCCGGGGTCAGCTTGTGCCTACGGAAATAAGATTTCCTCGCATTGTGGAGCACATGGAGTCTTTATTCATCCAATAAACATGTATTGAAATGTAGTGTATGTGCCAAATGCTGCAGGGATATAGCGTTAATAAGACATGGCCTGTGCCTTCCAGGAGCTCATAATCTACCAGAAGATACAGAAATAAATGATTTTCTTTTTCGGTTGAGGATGGGGGCTGGGAGAGACCCCACACCTGGCTGTGCTCAGGCGACCATGTGGTACCAGGGGTGAAACGGGAGGCTCTGACATGCAAAGAATGCGACCAACCCTTTGAGACATCTCGCCCAGTTCAAAATAAGTATTTCTTTAATTCATTTGTCCTGGGATTTTTATCTTTTTCCTTTTGGTCTTGGTTTTGATTCATATCCCAGCAGCAGTGGGGGAAGGGAAAAAAGAAAAGGGCTACTCCATGCCCGGTGCTGAGAGGGTACTCTGCCAGTGCTGGGCCACCATTGCCTGCGGGGATTGAATCTAGGGCTCCAGCACGCAAAGCTCTTTCCCTCACCACCACCCTCCCCCCAAAGCCAAGTTATTTTTTTAATTGGGACACACACTAGCAGTGCTCACTCCTGGCTCTGTGCCCCAGGGATCACTCCTGATGGGGTTTGGGCAACCGAACCCTGTCCTATCTCTCCAATTTGGGAGTCACTCTTGGTAATGCTTGCGGGGAGCTGAAGATTAAGCTTTGGCCCAAGCATGGGCTTCTAACTTTAACTCTCTGGCCTAGTGACTTTTGCTTTTTTGGGTCACGGTCAAGGTCCTCCCGTTGTTCATCGATTTGCTCGAGCGGGCCCAGTAACGTCCCCATCATGAGATTTGTTGTTACTGTGTTTGGCGTATCGAATACGTCATGGGGAGCTTGCCAGGCTTTGCCGTTTGGGCGAGATACTCTGGGTAGCTTGCTGGGCTCTCTGAGAGGGGCGGAGGAATTGAACCTGGCTGGCCGGGCCAGCTGCGCTCAAGGCAAACGCCCCACTACTGTTCTATCCCTCCAGCCCCCAGCAGTGCTCAGGGGCTATTCCTGGCAGTGCTCGGGGGACCATATGGGATGCCAGGGATTGAATCCAGCTGTACTATCACTCTGGCCTGCTGTGACATTTTTCAGATAGGATCTTGAGCCTGGAAAGCTATCTCAATAGGTTGGAGTGCCTGCTTTTTCATGAGGGAACTCCAGGTTTAATTTCTGACACCACATGATTCTCCTTACACTGCCAGAAGTCACCCCCAGCACAGAACAAGGAGTAGCTGCCTCCCTACTCCAGCACTGCTAGGTATGGCCCCGGACCCCAAAATCCATCCATCCACTTATTTACCGCATCTTGACATAGATTATCTCTTTTGTTGTTGTTTTGGGGCCACACTCAGGATGCTCAAGGGTTACTCCTGGTTCTAAGCTCAGGAACTATTCCTGGTGGTGCTGGCGGCGGCGGGTGGGGCTGGGGGGGTGGTAGGGGGACAAGGCAAACCTGTGTGTGTGCATGGCAAGCAAACTATTGGTCCTACCCCTAGATTATCTCATTTAATCCTCTCAGTAATCCAATGAGGGTAGGTAGTAATATTCCCAATATTCAGATGAGGAAAAGAAGGCTCACAATAGTAAGGTAAGATGACTACAGAGATATCCGCCAGTCAAAGACCAAGTCAGTATTTAAATGCGAATTTCCGGAGAATTTCTGTTTCGGGCTAGAGATAGTACAGTGGGTAGGGCGCTTGCCTTGCACCCTGCTGACCTAGGTTTGATCCCCAGCATTCCATGTGGTCCTCCAGCCCACCAGGAGTGATTCCTGAGTGCAGAGCCAGGAATAAGCCCCAAGCATTGCTGGGTGTGGACCAAAAACCAGTGGGGCGGGGTGTGGGGGGAGGGTGTAAGGAATTTCTTAGTTCTGTTTTTGGCTATCTCTGCCACCACTGTCCCAGTTCAGACATTTGTTGGTGATCAGCTAAACTGTTTCTCTAGCTTCCTTCTGGTTTCCCTTTCTTTGTTCAATCCCCTTAGTTTAAGATACCTTTTTTTTTATTAGGACTTTGGGTTATTTTTTTGTTTGGTTTTGGGCTACACCCAGCAATGGTCAGGGGTAACTCCTGGCTTCAAACTTGGAATTACTCCTGATGGTGCTTGGGAGGACCATATGGGATGCTGGGCTCGAACCTGGGTTGCCTGCATGCAAGGCAGGTTCTCTACAGCTCTGTTTAGGGTTGATTTAGGGTTCTAAACCTAAAAGTCTTGCATAGTCTTTTAGTTTGATACCTATACCCCTGCCAGAATAGTCTGCCTAAAATGCAAATTTCACTTTTTCCTTACAGAATTCTAAGCCATTTGAATTTCTAAGAGCCATTCTTTGTTGTTGCAATTTTAAATGTGTTTTTAAAGAATACAAATCTTACTCAGCTCCTGGTATGGAATTATTTGTCAGGCATTCAAATCTTTTCTTGTTGTTTTGGCCACACCCAGCTGTGCTCAGGGACTTTACTCCTGGTTCTGTGCTCAGGGATCACTCCTGAGAATGTGCGGGGATCCTATGTGGTGCTCAAACCCAGGTTGGCTGTGTTCAAGGCAAGACGATTCACCTTCATTCTCGATCCTCAAAAGTCTTTTCTTTTTTTCAAATTTTTTAATCGTTTGGTTTTTGAGTCACACCCAGTGATGCTCAGGGGTTATTACTCCTGGCTCTGTGCTCAGGAATTACTTCTTGCCTACATGAGGGACCATATGGGTTGCTGGGGACCAAACTGGGGTTGGCTGCATGCAAGGCAAGCACCTCACCTGCTGTAGTATTGCTCTGGCCCCAGATTCTTTTACTTAAAAATTATTTAGGGGCCAGAGCAGTAGTACAGTGGATTGAGCATTTGCCTTACATACGACCAGCCGGGTTTGATCCCATATGGCCCCCTGAGCATAGCCAGGAGTAATTCTTGAGTGCAGACCCAGGAGTGACTCCTGCAAGATAAGCATTTAGAAGACCCAAGTTTCATCCCCATTGTCCTCTGAGCACTGCCAATTGTCATTCCTGAGCACCTAGCTAGCATAGCCTCTGAGTGACACCAGCTATCGCCAGAAAAACAAAAAGAAAGGCAAGAAGGAGGTGGGGCCAAGGAAGGAAAAAAAGAACGACTTCTTGGGTGAAGGAGAGAGCTCAGGGTCTAGATAGAGCACAAGGCTTGCGTACAGAATCTCCGGGCTTGACCCTGGCATTGTGTGATCCTTGAGAAGTGCCAGGATTGACTTTCAAGCACCAAGTCAGAAACAGTTCCCAAACACGATCGGGTGGGGTCCAAAAGCAAAAAGAATGAATTATCAGCTCCCTGTACTTCTGAGACAGACCATATATTCTCAGGCCTCCATGGGGGTACCAGGCTGTTCCCCCAGGCACATGGCCCTTACAGCAGAT